CCGCCTCCCCTCCTGGCGCTGCCCGGTACCTGGGGGTGCCGGCACGAGCTGCAGGTTTGTGCGCAGCCTGCTCTGTGCTGTCTGCCTTCGTCCAGTTTGCGGTGCGTTGAGACAGGCGAGGATACTGACATTCAATTTCGTGTGCTCTCAGTCCCTCAGAGACACAACCCTCTGAAATTCATGAACCAGCATGCTTGGCAGAAGACCTAAAAAAAGCCCTCAGGCAAAGGGCCAGGGAGCTGCAGTTGCAAAGCAGGTAAGGAAGGCAAAGGGCCAGGGAGATGTGATTGCAAAGCAGGTAGGGGAACCTCCTACTCCTACTGCTCTTCAGGGTAGTTTTGTTCAGGTCCCTTGCTGCTGTTTGCCCGCTAGAATCTCCCATGCGTTAATAAGATACTGTAGGACCATGAAAAAAATTTATGTTGTGTGGTGCCTATTTTCCTTCTTTCACTTTTAGCACATTCTTACTGAAGTAAATATCCGACACGCAGCAGTGGAGGTCTTGCAGGGAGGCCTCAATGTTGTAACGCTGTAATCTTTGCATGAGACCTCATGACTCATGCTTATAGTAGTTTCCTACCCCAGCTATGCTGAGATTTAATAATAACTTCAATAACTATATGGAGGTTTTTCTTACACCGCTAAGAAAACAAACAAGACGACCAGAATATTTGGGGGCACATTTGGGAGAACATTAAGGCGCTACACCAGAGATGGCTAATTTTAATTTCCCTGCGTATAGTAATTTTTTCTTGCAGCAGGTAGTCTGATAAGCCTACGTCCCTCTTCTGTAACTAAAAGTGAGCTTATATGTGTCTGTGTGTTGGGGTTTTTTCATACTCTTTAACTTTGGATGTACTTTCAGAAGCCTTAAGGAGAGAAACATGATCTAATCTTGGTTGGCAGGTGTAAGAAATCGGGCAACAGTGTCAAAATTAGAAATACAGCCAAGGTAAAATTCCGTGTGGAGTAGCGGAAGAAGAACAGAGTATAGTTAGAGGTAAAGAACAGGTTAGAACCAGAATGGAACTTTAGAAACCTTTGAAGGTAGAGTAGAGGCAAGTAACGTACAGAAGGGGAATAACTGGTAAGAATATAGGGAAATGTGAAAAGAGATTGGAATAGGATATTAGAATAGAGAAAATAGCTAAGATATACTCTTTATTCTTTTGGTGATTTTGTCAGAACGAGTGCTCTCATACTGGAGGCAGAATGGTTTAGTTAGAGGTCCATAATGTCACCATTGTTCTAATGTGAAAGTTTGCATTTCTCAGTTGGAGAGGTAGTATATAATTGAGTTCATTTGAACAAGGGAGAGGATAAAAGGTGAAAATATCTTTTCCCCTTCCCCAAAAAAGAAACCACACTCTAAAAAGACAAAAAGTAAATAAAGGATCCGATTAACATATTTTACTGATTTCTAATGCAACACAGTTAGTTATTCAGCCTCTCTTGCAGGGTTGAGGATTGTTTCTTGAAACAAATATGCTAATGGCTTGTTCACTTGCAAATTAACTCAATTTAAACTGTTCTTGTGCTGTGTACCATATCGACTGCAATGTTTTTATAACCTCTTTTTTTCTGTTTTATTAAATATTTGTTTAATACTATTAATTTCATTGGAAATGTCCCTTACAGAACAGAATGTGAGAGACTTAGAGCTGGAACTTCTGGATTCTGTTCTTGACTTCATTACTGCACTTGCTCCACTTTCTACGCTTGCAGTGCAGTAATGAACAGATCACGTGCTCCTGATGCGTTTTGCACATTGATAAAAGGTGTATGTGTGTTCCATAGGACTTGGATCTTTAGATCATCATTATAAATATTTCCTAATTAAAACTTGTCTTCACTTTCTTTCCATTCTATCCAAGACTGCAAAAGTATTAGTTTTGTTTTACGGAAGGGAGATGGATAAGGCAGAGGAAGGGTGGCTAACTGATCTGCCCAGTGCCTCACAGAATGTCAAGGGCAGGATCATGGTTAGTAAACAAATAGCTGCTGATTTTGAATACTGTTCCTCATCCTTGGAATAGGTGTTTCTCAGCTGTTTCACATTCTCCTTTGGGATTATAAAAGGGTTCAAAGAAGGACACAAGATATTTCAAGGCAGTAGCCACCAGCACCTTGATTTCTGCAAGGTTAAAAAAAAAATTGTTAATTACTTATTCGCACAAGTTTATAAACTGACAGGCAGCTTCAGCTTCTGGCAGCACTTTGCATCCTCAGAGGCGGGAGGAGATTGTTAGCTCCTGTGATAATGACAACTGATTTTTATTCCTTTGCTTGAGAGAAGCTGAACTGCTGCCTGCTCGGCCATGTGAAGATCAATATGCCAACAGCGGCTTGTGCTTTGAAGAAGTCTGAGGAAACCTACTCCACTTACCTCGCAGGATGAATCTAATTCAGTTAATTCATGTTTATAAAAAAGCTTAGCATACTTTGAATAAGGATGTTGCTATTTCTGGGGCAGTTAGTATCTTAAACAGCAATATAAAAATGGTGATAAACTGGCACCTTAGAAGAATACCTTTTAGACGAAGACCTCAGAGATTTCTCTGATACTTATGTCCTTTGGCATGTTTTGCAACAATTGAGTGATAACCCCCACTACTTTGTCAAATTCTGATGACTGTTATTAATAATATTACCTGAGATGCTGTTGCTTAACTTATGATCTATTCCAGACAGTGGATTGTTTTCTCCAGTGTAGTTGCTGGGTTTGTAGTGGCTGTGTTTCTCTGTGTGTGTGCATGCGCTTTCCATGTGTTTATGATTTACAGACTGAGGTAATGAGAAGTATGGAACAGTTCTGTATATGTAAATATTGCTTCTTCTGAGAGGTAAGAGTGAAATCTCTGCAATGTACACATGTCAAACCTGTATTGCGTGAGTGATGATTGAATATTTTTTAGCTTGGTTTTTGTAGGAGCCACCCTGAGCTTCCCTGATGTTACCTGCTTCATGAGGTTCAGCGTAACAGACATCATTTTATTTTACCTTGTTATGTCAGACTATTAGATAGGCTTGATTTTAAGAAAACATTGACTGTGTAGAGTTGTAGGGGGAGTAGTTGTGGCTTATTAAGGTTTATGTATGTTGTATCAGTTAAGGGTGCCTGGTATGTATTGTTTTGGTAATAGAAGTGGTATGATAGTGGGCTTTAAAAAAATGAATAGAATCTAGAATGCATGAAAATGTTTAAATAATCCGTGCAGGGTGATGTTTTTGAGTGTCATCTCTGTTCTAACTGCAGGTTTGGTTTTTTTTTTTCATTTTTATTTTCCCTGGGCTCCAGCTGGGGCTGTTTGTAGATTTCAATCCTGAAGAGATGCTCTTGGGTGCAGAAGAAGGTGGGGATGATGGGGACCTAGAAGCAGAGCTTGCTGCTCTCACGGGAGCAAAGCTGAAAGAAGGGAAATCAAAACCAAAAGGGAAAAGTAAGTTAAAGTGTGTGGATTTTGTTTATTGACAACCTGAATAATTTATTAAAAATTTACTATTTACAAATCACATATTTATCTAAAATGTTTTTTTCATCACTGATAGAAGCTGAAATTGCAACTACTCTTTCCTTTACTTTGAAAGGTTTAAGTTGTTACTCCACAAAAAGGGTATAGAATCATAGAATGTTTTGGGTTGGAAGGGACCCCTAGAGATCATCTAGTCCAACCCCCCTGCAGGGAGCAGGGACACTGCTAACTAGATCAGGTTGCTCAGAGCCCTGTCCATCCTGGTCTTGAGGGCAAGAGGTTTTTTTGTCCATGCTCTTGTAGACATAGGAAAAAGATATATGATGGCTGGCCAATTTAATGACTAAATTAAGACATGCTTGTTTAGTATATGAAGTCATAAAAAGGTGTATTAGGTGCTAGACTAATTCAAAATGGAAATCATGTTTTTTGTGGAGGGTTGGGTGGGTTGGTTCGTTGTTCTTCTGTTTCTGTTTAAAGACTGAATTTACTGAGCGAGCATTACATTTTTAGTTACTTGGACTCTAACCAAAACTGAATACCCTTTTAAGACAGAAATCCTGGAACTGTTGGAATTACTAGGAGTATCATGTAGTTTGTGTTATGCAGGTTAGAGTGTGTCTTGGAATGGATCATTACTATTCTTAATATTTTAAGCATCTGTTATCTGATAGTGTTTGCATGCAGCTATGCATTGTTTTACAGCATTGCTGTAATCTACTATAAATCAAGGCTGCTGCTGAGAGGGGCGGTCTCTATGGAGCATGCTCTACCTGTAAGCTGGTATACATATTTATGGAGCTGCAGGGTGAGCTGCTTTGGGAAACTGATCTATAAAAATAAACTTCTGTTGTGCTAGGCTTTCAGCTGAATCAGTTCCTTGATCTGGTTTGATGCCTGCCTATTTGAATGCTGTTGTGGCTGCAAGGGAGGGGTAGCAGCAAATGGTTGAGATGGAACAAAGAGAGCGGGACCTACCCTTGCTATGGGTGCGTGAACAGATGCTGGAAAGAAGGGTTAGTGCAACTACAGCCTTATTTGCAGCTCTGGAGTAATTTGCTTGTAATATTTGAAGGGACTTCACACAGATCAGCAGGGAAATGAAGAATTTTAAAATACTTAGCAAAAGGGACTGTCTAAACGCTTTAACTGATGAGAGACAGAGGAGGTGTTTGTATCTAAAACTAGATTCTAAATAGTTTCCACTCTCCAGACTTCAAGACTGTCGTAAACCCCTAAAGCTAACAAGCACAATTGTGCTAATTAAGCACAGTAGCAGAACTTCTGCCGTTGGACATAGGTTACTCATGGTTAAAAAATGTCAAATAGTGTTTTGAGGATGGATCTGGGTGTGAGGAGCTCTTGAATTGTTGTCAGCTTTTCAAGTGCTGACTTCCTTCTGGCCCTGATCATGTCACTTAATGTGTTTTTTCAGTCTCTTTGTTCATAAGAGGGAAATGAAACTTCAGACAGTGCAAATTAACATTTACTATGCCTTCTAAAGGTATGTGTTATGGCTCATAAAACTATTTTCCAAAATAATTCATGGCTATTCTGTTTTCCTGGTAGAATTGGGAGTATATAGATTAGAAGCTTGTGGAAGATTAACAAGTGGACAGCTGGCGCTGGGGACTCATGAGACCTGGTACAGTGTAGTGATGGGGACACGGTGCATGGCAGGGGCAGGATGCTGGCCGGTGCCTAGAAAGGAGGAGAGAACAGTAAGGACAGGGAAGAAACAGATCCTGTCTGGGGAAGGGACAGAAAAAAGCGACCCAGTACCATACATACTAGTGCTCGGTTCTTGGCTGAACACAAGGTGCAATGATTCACTCCTGCATTTACATTCTAGAGCTTTGTTGGGGGGGAAAATGTGATCTCTCACACTAGCTTGAAGATGCAGGCAGCAAAAGCTGTAGTGTTGCAACATCTTAACTACAGAGATCTCTGCTATCTGTGATTGATAAATGCCAGCTAGTCAGCCACTCAGATGTTTGAAATTGTAGCCTCAACTTGCCACCCTGGATTAGAGCTGAACCAACCATCCGAGGAGGCTCGGTTCGTTGTTTTGCCTCTAGTGGGGCTTCGTGTAAGGGACGCTCTGACCCTTGAAGTACAGCCAGTTGCCTTTGGATATGGCCTACTATCCTAGTTGCATAGTTTTGCGAAGGGTCAAATATATGAGGAACTTGTTTAATATAGGTACCGAAGCACTGATGTGGTAAATTAGATTATTTGAACAGAACCAGCTTGGTACCTGGGTTAGTTTTCAGCTGATTAGCAAATGCAAGGAAAGGATGGGATCCAGTTTAGATCCATTCAAATTGGCTGTAGAACTCTGTCCTGAAGATCTAGATTTTATTCAGCATTTACTGACACTGGTGAGTCACAGTCACATGTCTGGGGAAGTATCAGAGGCATTTAAGCGGACAGCTGGGATTTGTGTGCAAGTAACTTCACCTTTGAGAGTGTGTGGAGGAAGTTGATAGTTAAGGAAAATGTGGTTGGCACAGCATGAAGTAGAGATGAGAACTCGGCAAGGAGGAATTAAGTAGAGTTTTTGGAGTAAAGACCAGAAGCTTGAAGAGAAATTGCAAGACAAAGTAGCCAAGGAAGATTTGGAAAAGGGAAAATCTCATGGGCATGAGACAGCAATGCCGAAAATGCAGAAGTATAGTTAGAGAGGCAGAAGAAACAGCGCTTTTTCTGATTTGCTTAGCAATTCTCTGTGCCAGTGTTCTGCTGCTGCTTTGGCTCAGGACAAGTATGGTGCCTTGATTTGGAGCATTCTATTTTTGTATGCCAAGTGTGACTTTGCAGTATAGTTTGATGTGTAAAACAAGTAGTTTCTCAAGGTAGAAAGATCTTGTCTTCCTCTTTTGCTGTCCTCAAACATATGCATAGTTTGCTGTGCCTCCTTGCTTATCATGTTAACAGCCAGTGTTTTGGCTTATGGCTTGTGTTGTTCAGTATGTCTCTAGAATTGATGTTAATGTGCATCATCATTTTCAAAGGATAAATATATACCCAGTTTAACATGAGATGAAGAGAGAGAGACATACTTGTGTTTAAGACTGTAGATTGAGAAAATGGATCAGCTGTTGGAGTCTCAAGCGGAATTTAGACCCTATGCAAAACTCCAGTGATTTAGTTAGAGAGCTCCCAATCAAACTACAACTGAGCTCAGCATTTTTTATGGTAAATGCCTTGAACTTTGTTCTGATTTATGGCTGCGTGCACTGTTGTAATACACACAATAACATATTTTTGGCTTTGAAAGAAAATGCAAACAGAAGTTTTACCAACAGGTGTGCTGGGATGTTTAAAGCAAGTGTCTGCATCTTGTGCATTTAACTGTTGGGCTGACTTGATCATATCCGTACATGCAGATCTTTGGGAGTTAGAGTACTTTTAACTCAAATTAGTTCAACATGAGGGAGAGAAGAAAAGGGATAGAATTGGGAGAAAGAAATAGGTTGTTGGCACTTAGGGATGGATGCGGACCACTTCTATTCCATATGGGGTCAGAATTTATTCCATAGGTCAGAATTCACCAGGAGTTGAATTACATTTTGTTAGGGTAGACTGACATGAGGCAAAGGACAGAGAACAGAAAGGTCTGACAAAGATGCTGAGCCCGGGCCTTGTTAATATGGACAATCAAGTCATATACCTTTTGTAAATATCTAGCATCAGCTTAAAACTAGTTCAGATATTTATTCCTACTAGGGACAGAGGCTACTCCAGTGATTCCCTTTCATGGATAGGAACTTCTGATCAGATTTATTCGTCAACAATTTATATTTATTTGCTCTTGTGCCACCATTGAGTTTTATCTTAACTGAGGAATACAGTTTTGATGTAACATCCAAGAATAGTAGTATTGTCCGGTTTTTCTTTGGAAAATTGAAGTCTTCTATGACAAAGTTTCTGTAACTAGATATTTCTGTAAATAATATCACAGAGATACTTATCTGTATCTTAAATCAGCCTAGGAGCTTGAGGTGACTTCTAGTAATTTTTCCCTGAAGCAGTTTCATCCAGTCCTACTTGTCTTTCTTACCCACTCTTAAATGTCACTACTGTGCAAATCTACCACAGTATCTTTGTCTTTTGTGGCTATGCTTTCTGAGTGCTGTTGTGTCCCACCACACCTGCTAGTCTATCATGGTGCTTATGGTTTTGACATTCAAGCTCCTTAGTAAACAGACATTATTTCTCCCTGACATGTAATTTCTGTGCTAGGTTATTGGATGCAGGCATTTTCCTTGTCTTATTGCCTGCTCTCACTGTCACTCTCGGAAAGACTAGTATTGCTTTTTTCCCGTGTGTTCACTTCCCCAGTCTTTGTCCTTTATCCATGAATATACACCCATTTACCTATGACACTATCTGATAAAGGGACAGCAAGAGGAGAAGTCACTGCTCTCTTTCAGCTGGTAGCAACTCCTTTTGAATTTATGTACAGTGACTCCGTAACTGTTACTTAGGATTTATGGCTCCTTGTGGTTTCTTTTTACAGCTCCTCTGCCCATGGATCATATTGAAAAGATGGCTGCAGAGTGTATGAAGGACCTGAATGAAGATGAGGAGGAAGAAGCAGATGATGAAGACTTGGAGAAAGATACAGATCTGTTGGTATGCCTAACTTTGTTAGCAAAAAGTTTTAGTATGTCTTAGGTTGTTGTGTGTGGGTTTGTTGTTTTGTTTTGTTTTTTAATTAAAGAAAATGTTACTTAACTTTGTGGTGAGAAGCTAAAATATTGCAAAAGCATTCAGTTAGATATAGGGCTTTGCAGGATCCAGCCCCTGCACACCAGAGTAAGAGAATTTCCTAGCTAACATTCATATGTGAGAGTCTTAGAGAAGTGGGGGGAACAACAGGAATCCCATTCCATGTCAGCTGGTGAAACACAGCCAGGGATATTCTCCTTAAAGTGATGTTTGTCACCATTTTGCTACTGCTTCAAGTAGTGCTTCGCCTGAAAGACTGTCTCCCAAGAAATTCTCTATCACTTCAGTGAGTCATCTAGTTGGCAGGGTTTAGGGAAGGAGTGTTGAGCAGTGAATTTGACTGCCATTGTTAATAGATACTTTTTGGAAATTTCAAATTTGGGTTTGAATGATCTTTGTAAAAGTACTTCTCTGAACTTCTCCAGCTTCAGATCTCTAACCACAAACTTGTGCGGTGATCCTGGAGCTGCAGGGTGGCTTTTGAGTGGTATCTGTTGTGAATACAAGTGGAACCAGTTTCAATTAAAAATAAAAAAAAAATTTAAATTACCAGACTATAAGATGTTTAGGCTCTCTGTTTGGGTTCAAGGTCCATCCAAAGGTTTTGGAGTTTGAGACTTGATTTTATTTTCTTTTGAGGAAGTAGAAAATTTTGAGGAAAAGCCTTTTGTTGGCTTTTATTTTTACTTTAGGCAGAATTGCAAGAAGTTCTGGGGGTGGAAGGTGAGACAGGAAGCTGTGAGGACGAAATGATAGCAATGGAGCCATCCACAGCTGAACCAGAAAATGAGCAACCTGAACAGCAACCACAGGTAGGAAAGAGCTTCACATTCCTGACAGTTTTGCTGAATCAATGTTGTCATGCAGCTTATATGAGGATCACAAACAAGGATCTAGAGAGGTCGTCTTGTCCTCCCAAGAAAGGAATAACTACACTATTGCTGTCGTCTCTGTGGAAACCTATGCTGTATTGACATAGGTGAATTTTTTGCTTTGTTCAGAGGATTATTTTTAATGTTAGCATAGAATTGAGGAAGTAAACAGTTGGAATCAAGCATGTCTTGTACCTCATTAGACATAAGAGCATGCAGACTGCAGTTCAGACTTCCAGAGTTGGTATCTTTCCCCTCAGAGTATTGAGCAGTGTGCTGAAATTGTGGGACTTGTTATAGCTCAGCACCTTTTGACATTTTTGTGTATTTTTTTCTCAGTAGCATTAGCTTTCTTAGCTTAGTTTGTCAATCTTCATGCAGTCAAATCCTTTATTCAGTTACTGGCATATTTCTGCTGTGTGCTACAGATTCCAGTGCCATTGTGCATTGGGCCCATTAATAGTTGGGTCTGAGAGTGTTTCTATAGAGATAATTGCAATAATTACATCAGTAGCCATCTGAAAGGTCTCTGTAGCTGTGGAATGGTTATACGTAGCTACTCCTAACTTTGCTTGGGCTGCTTTTGTCACTGAACTGCTTCCAGGCTATGGGAGGAAGAAAAAGAGCCGTTGTAGTAAAACCAGGTTGAAGAACCCCAGAAGGGAGTATACTAGCATGTTTTAAAAATAAGAAAAAGTCAAGATTTGTGCCAAAATACCTCTTCACACCCTCTGTTGTTTGGTGTTTGAGAGACTTTACTGTTCTCTTCACCTACTCCCTAACCACATGGCTCCAATTACCCTGTGACTGGCAGTTTTCTAAATGTCTCCACCCATTCTTCTCTATTACGCCTTTGAGAGAAAGCCCAGAGGTGGATCCAGGGACTGTTAGCGCAGTACAAGTGTTCCTCTGTTTTAGAGACTGTTTCGTCCTTGCGCTCTTGATTAACGGGAGTTTGTGTAGAAGAGGAGTATTTGTTTTTCAGTGCTGTGCGAAAATTCGTATAGTTGGATGAAATAAGTTTTCTTGATTTGTTTTATTATTTTTTCTGAGACCACCTCACTTCCTGCTGTTACCAGTGAGCTGCAACAGACAATAGAGAAGAGAGTTGCTAACTATAGGACAGCAATTTCTAACGCTAAGGAGTTGGGTGAGAGTGCCAAAATACGCCGATACGAAAGAGGCCTTAAGGTAAGTTGGGTTCATCAGGTATATGAATGAGGGGGAGGCAAAGTCAGTTCTCTAAAGTGTTGGTTCGGAGTCTTTATAGGTGTGTGAATTTGAAAGGGGAAAGTCTAATATGCTGCCTTGAGTTACTTTAAAAACATTTCTTGTTACTTACTACCAATCTGATGTTGCAAATAGCTAAAGTGTAACTTCAGACACTTTTTTGTGCATCAGCTTTGTTTCTGTTGAATGTGGCTAGTGGTGGCTGGAGGCAGGGTTCATGGTGAATGCTGATGTTAAACCCAACCAACTAGATCTGCATTTGGCCTGTGATGACTGTTCAGTGTTAACCTTAAAGCAAAGTTTAGGAGCTTTCCCAGTGCATATACCTTCCAATTCAGCACTGATGCCTTCGCTTAAATGCTAACCTTCCACTCAGTTCTGTGAGACAAAGGAAGGTGATACCTTGTCCTGGGTCTGTTGGCTGTGCTTGAAAATGAATAGAACAGGATTTTTCGTTAGTGCAATTAAAAATTGCATCAAGGTGCAGTTTCTTCAGCTTTGCATCTTTTCAGCCACGTGGTGTGCTTGTAATTAGTTGGTAGTGCTTGGTGATTGCTGCGGTGCAGAGTGCCTTTATTTCCCTGTTTGCTTTCATCTGGTCTCCTGCACTACCTCAGACAGCTGCCAGCTCTGTCTTGTTGAGCAAAGCTTTATAGCTCAGCGGTGTCCACTGAGGGAAGAATGCAATGTCTCACTAGCTACCCGGTGTCTTAGGGTGCAAAAGGAAAAACTGAAGCCAAACCCAGGGGAGGAAATGCACAAGAAAGGAGACGTCTGTATGTGTCCGCTGTCTCCTAGTTGTGAAAGGAACGTATGTGAAACCACCTGACCTTTCAGAGCACGAGAGGGATAGGCAAATCAGCTTATTTCATCCAGTAATGAAGCTTAGTGCGCTGTTTGCCACTTACTTTATTTTTTCAAGGTAGGGAGCTTCCCTGTGCCTAAGTAGTGTAGCTAAGGATAATAGACTAGATCTCGCTTCACAGCTCACAGTTTGTTACTTAGCAAAATGACATGCCAACAAATGGTGTACAGTTATGTCTTGTACATAGTTCTTGGAACAGTGAACTTTAATCTCAGCATTTAATTCCATTTCCAGTTAGTCTGTCATCCCACACGTGGAGAAGAGAGAACTGTGTGTGGGGTGCTGTACTGATCTGAACCCCAGTCGCACATGTAGTCAGACCAAAGTATCTCTACTGCTGTTGCTTAATAGGTCAAAAAATGCCATGGCTAACCAAAAATAGCAGTGATTCTGGCACTGATGAGATTTTGTTGTTGTTATTGTCTTTCGGTGCTTCCATTTTGGTGTCTGCGAAAGATGGAAGAAGTAAAATTTGTTTTGGCTTGAAGTATGTGGTGATCTTTTGTCTGAACTTTAAATTAAAAAAAAAAAATCTGAGGAAGGTAGTATTTCTGGTGGAGGAAGGGTTTTAAAAAAATGAGCAGCAGTTAACCAGTGTTACAGATGGTGAGAGCTTCTTGCCATAGGTCACCAGCAGAAGCTCCATTTCCTTTGTTAGTATTTAACAGCTTTTCTCATTGCATTAAATAGGTATGCAGACTCCTTTCCTTGAATCCACATAGGCAGTGACATTTCAGAGTGGTGTGTTTTATTTTGTTTTAAAGACATAAAATGCATCTACAGTTGGTGTGACTGGCTTCCTTGGTGATTTTCTGTGAGAAAGCTGAGTGGACCACATCAGCTATCCAATAATTCTAGGTGTTGAGGTACTTGTTACCCAAACTCCAGAATTGCAAGTCCTTTGTGTTGTTTTGCTCTGACAATTGGACACCTTTCACTAATGCTGAAGTTGGCCTTGCAGAAAAATAGGGAGCTGAAGTCCAGCAACCTCTAGTGGTGTGCGTAATAATTCCTATCATGAATAAGGGAATGAATTTGTGTTTTAGTGATTTTATGCTAGTAATATGTTTGATGAAATTGCCTATTGACTTTGCTGTTCCATCTCTGCCAGACACTGGAAACCATGCTGGCTGCAGTGAAGAAAGGCAAAAAAATCAATGAAGAAGAAATGCCACCTCCTGTTGCAACAGGAAAGAGTTCTTCTCACTTATCTCAAGCCACGGGAGTGGAGCTAGAGAATTCAGGAGATTCAGTCAGTGTCCTACCAAAGAATAAAGCTGAGACTTTTGCAGATGATGAGGCAGTGCAGCATCTGGAATCAGAGTCTCTACAGGGTCATGCTGCTTCTAGTCCTATTGTGGAAACAGGTACCATGATCTGAGAGGATAAGCAGTTGCAATGCTATTTTAATGCCACATCTTTCTTGATGTTTCTATTGTGTAGCAAAGCACTGCTTATGTTGGAACTTCCCTGCTGAATGTTTCAGATAGACTTGTCAATGGGATGTTGAATTTCTGTCAGTAGAATTAGTTATTGTTATAGAGCTTTTATAAGTGCTGTATCAGTATCTGTCACTTTTCCTGTGCCTCACTTTCTCCTTTGATATTGCGACATATAGAATTGCAAGCTTCCAAGAGTCTTGAGATACTGACTAAAATACTTTTTTTTTTTTTTTTTCAATTGGGAAAAGTGGGATTGTTATGTATGGTAGGACTTCCGGAGACTGGAGGAAAAAGGGCTTTTGTAAGATGGCTGTGTGATTCAAAGCAAAAGAGAACTAATGCAGGTTTGAATAGATGGACACAGCAAGGGATGCATGTCTTGTATGCTCTGTGTAAGTCTCAGCATTGTTTCATTCTCACAGATCTCCAGAGCAGCAGCACACGAGCAATGCTACTTATGAGGCAGAAGGAGTATAAATTAGCAGCTCTAAAAGCCAAGCAGCAAGGGGACCTGGAGAAAGCGAAGGAATACATGAGGGAAGGCAAGGTATGCACACAAGAAATCCTGAGTGGTAAACATACCCTATGCTGTACCCACATGCGCTGAGTGTCAAATATTCGTTGTGACAGCTAGCAAGTGTTGGATATACTAGAGTAAATCTCCTGTTTTACTTTTTCTGCATTAGAAATTTAATGTAGTCTTGGAAGCTTTGGATAGTGGGCAGCCGATAGACCTCCAGAATATGCCTCCATCTCTTCAGGGTAAGGCTTGTCTTACAAAACCTCTTTTAGAAGTCTCTCTGTGCTGTAATGGAATGATTCTGAATTTGATTGCAAAACTGTAAGAAGAACTGAAGATCACTTAGGTGTGAGGTTTATTGCATATTCAAATTCTAATCAAGACTAACGAAGAAAACTGAGGTATCGTTATTTACGTTGAAGTTACTCTCTGTGAATTACAAGTTCAAGTAGGTATTGATGCCTAATATTCATGTTCTTATAACTTTAGATAATAGCAGGCAGTATGTGAAGTGGAAGGGAAAGAAGGGTAACGGCACATTCTTAAGGTTTACTGTAATATTTGATGGTGTTGTGTGTTTCAACTGAGGTTCATACCATTCAGATTGAGACAAACAAGCAGTTTGCAGTGCAGTAAAGTCTAAATCTTAAAGCAAGTTACCAATATTAATGATACTTAGATCCTTGTAAAAGAGGGGGTTTTTTTAAATGGGTGTAGTATCACCACCAACAATTAATATTTGGTCTGTGCAACTGAGTGTTTTAAACAATTTACTTTAGTACATCATTTTATTCTAAGAAACTGATAGATTTATTTCAATACGTCATGAGTTTTATGACTCCTTAAGTCATAAACTGATCACCAAATGGCATTAGAGATAAACTTCACCCGTGATATAATCTTGCCTTAAAAAGTGCAAGATTTTTGCAGCAGATATTTGTGTAGTTTTCTGAAATAACCACTACTATACAATGCCAGAACTTGGGTGTCTGAATAGATGGTATTACTTGCTTCCTTTTTTCAGCACATCTTTTGTTACTAGGGTATTTTAGTCAATTAGCAATCTTGTTCCCTCTTTCCATCTGTCAAGATACCGAAGTTATATTTTGGGGAGAGAATTCTTAGAATACTTGAACTGGTTTTACTTTTTTTTTTCCTCTTTTCCCTCAAGCAGTACTAACCTAAATTAGATCAGCATTTGAGATTTTCTATAATAAAACATTTTCTCTGAATAATGCAAACCTTAAACTTACCTAGCCATGCATATACTGTTTTGAAGCCAAAAAGCTTTCAGGAAGATGATGTGATCAAGTTTATGGTTTTCTGAGTAACATGGATTGACTTGCTGTTTGTGGAACGCACTGTGAAACTTCCTGCTTTCCTTGCTTTGCAGATCTTGAAAGCCTAGGAAACGCACAAGATCCATCCAAGCAAAAGGTACCAGCTCCAGTGGGAAGTTCCCAGGATCTTACAGCACCTGAACCTCAGACCCAAGAAGCTTCAGGTAAGACTTCGATTTCTGTAGCAAAAACATAAAAACAGCAGGGCTGGAAGGCGTTTTAAGGTCTGCCCTATCCCACTGAACTGCAACAGGATCGAGGAAACCTGGCTAATGTTCCTCAATACTGTTTGCTGCTGATCCCATCTGTACTTTTGTTCTGTATCAGTGATGGAAGTAGAAGTTGTTAAACTTGCCTTAGAAAAATTGTATTCATAATAAGACTTTGCAATGATGTTTTTGTCTTTGCAGAAGGTAAGGAAGGGGAGGAAAAAGGCAGCTCATATGTTTTGAAATCTGAATCATGTGGCATTTCATTGTCTGTCTTATTTCAAGCTTCCCTGCAGCAGCCGAAAACAGTACTGGAAGCATTGCAGCAAAGGCTTGAGAAGTACAAGTCAGCAGCAGCACAGGCTAAAGCAAGCGGGGATGACCGGAAAGGCAGGATGCACGAGAGGATAGCCAAGGTAAACCAAACGTGTAGCAAGCTGCTTGCATCCAGCAAAGCAATTTGAATTAGTTATGTTGCTGAAGACTTTTTCAAGGCTGAAGGGATTTGTGTATTGTCCTTCTATTTGAAAAGAGCTCCAATAGGGAAGCTGTAAAGCATTCAGAGGGAGGAGAAATAGACACAGTGCACATACTATAGCAAAATACTGTGTATTCTGCAATATTTATGCTGGTTAAATACAGATGATTGCCAATTTATAGTCAACTTCATTTTATGTCTTACTGAGTGCCTTTGATTACAGCAATACCAGGATGCTATAAGAGCCCATAAAGCAGGGAGAAATGTGAACTTTTCTGAGCTACCTGTTCCTCCTGGTAAGTGTGAATATAAAATGTCCTAATAACAACTTCTCTGTATCTGCTGGGCTCTGAAGGAGGTGTGCAGGTATTGCCTCCTCATCCTGTAGAGCAGCTCCTCCTTTTTTTCAGTAAGTAGGCTGGCCTTGCTGTTTGATGGTATTGTGAAACTGCTTATTAATATGCTCCCAAGCTTTCACACTGGTGAATATTCCTGACTACTGACTCCTCGTTTGACAGCGCTGGAACTTGAAACTGACTCTATTTGAAAAGTTAAACAAATTAACCATGGGCAGCTGCTGAAAATGTCACGTATCTGTCCTCTGTGCCAGCCCTCCTAGAGGAAAGATTAAACTGGAATTTACTGGAAGGAGATTTTTGAAACTGAAAAAATTTGCCTGATGTTTCCTATTCTGTTGATTCCCAGCAGGAGCCTCAAACTCTATATTTAATTAATTATCTTCTTGCAACACCTCACAAGTCAGATCAGTATTGCAGTTCTCATGGCTAGTAAAAGTAGAGAGAAGAGGCAAAGCGAATCATGCCTGTGGTCACACTGAGACAGTGACAGAGGCAGAAACTGAAGCTGCTTCTTGAGACGCTCCATTTTTACCTTCTTCAGAACATATAGTGCTGTGTTTGTAAAAGTTTGGGCAAGGTCATCTGTGAATGCTCCACCTCTGTTTTGCATGATACTGTTTCTCCCCTAGGAAGCATCATTCCTTTTATCTTGTGCCTGATGCGTTCATCTGAAAAGATACACTTAGCACTGCAAAGCGGTGCCTAGGTTTTTTTAAGTTAGAAAAGGGACGTGGACCTTGTGGCTTTTTTGTCACTGTCAAATGTGGCAATGGCAAGCACTGTGGTAGTAATAAAGTAGGCAGTGCCAGCTCTGTCAGGTCATGTACTGCTTTGAAGGGTCCCTGCTTTGAAGTTGTTCCTGAAAAGCAGTTTAGCATCACTTGTTCTAGAATGTAATCCATTTCTTGGTAAATATCAGTTTTTGTAAGAGTAAGGTACTCAATGTTTACATTTCTGAAAATAAGCATAACTCAGTCTCCTTACACATTAGATGCATGTTTTTCAGATGTCATTTAGAGGCCACATGATTTACATTGAAGACAGCCATTGAGCAGTCACTGGAACCACCAATGTAGTGGACTGGCAGTGCATTTCATTGCATCTGGATCATAATAAGTGCCAGCCTTGACCTCCTTGGAGACAGAAATGCTGCTGAATTAATGGATCAAATGTCACAAGAGGGCAGCAGCACAGGATTCTGTGTTCTACCTGCCCATGTACCTCAAACTTGTTCTGTCTCTGTAGCAGCCATCTAGGCTTAGGAGCAGTTTAGTAATTTCTTGGCACTTCTAATGAGACTGGCAACAAGAAATACTTGCTACATATTAATGAGATAAATCTTATTAACAGACATTTTATAGTAGCAGCTCTGTGTCTCTGTTGTCTGAAGCTGACACTGAACTGGTAGTGTGGAAGTGAGAGTTTCTCTTCCATCATCAAGCCTTCCTCCCATCCTTAAAAGAATAATAAAATAATGAAAAGGACAGTTCTTCTTATACTTCACACTTAACTACTGTGATTCTGCCTTACTTTGCAACCTCTGCATTGCAGAGGCTTAGTGTGTTATCCAGATGTCAGCAATGTATTGTTTATTACTCTATGGGGTAACACTGATTTTCTGCTGTATTGTGTACCAGCTAGGGTGAGGCAGCAGTGAGAGGGGAAAAAAAGAGCCAGTGACTTTTTGTACAATCTGCTGTCCTTTTGTACAAATGAGAGAGACTAAATTCTTTCCTGGTTCTGGAGGCATCTCTATTACCAAAGTCTTGAGGTTGTGAAGGTTCCTTGGCTGGCTGCCAGTTGCTCAACTTAGAAAATTATGCTCTGTTATTGCATCGTTTTAGCATCATCCCTGTAAGCCTGTATATTTGTGAGAGATCAGATCTTAAACCCACCACTCAGACTTTATCTAGCAAGGCATTGTGGCCTTGGCCTCAGCCTAGTTATGCTGAGTTCTGAAATGTATTAGATGATAGATACTTGGATAGAAATAGCTTTACAGAAAAGAACAAATATGGAAGACACAACTTATGCAACTCTTTACTTCTGTATTCCTTTCCTTCTCAGGATTTCCCCCTCTTCCTGGTGTTGCAGCAACAGATGGCGACAGCACAATAGCTGCTGTTCTGGAAAGCGCCAGTAAGTTGGCAAACATGGAGGAGAATGATGAAGAGGAAGAGGTTAGTATTTCTTAGTAGGATAGGTAAAAGTTAAAATGCTGTCTCTTGTGGTATGCAGAGATGAGGCCATTGGATTTCCAGTCAAGCAAGGGTACTGAGATGACATACATTTCCCAGAAATCTGAAGAGAATCTTGGTAGTAATTTCAGTTTGCATTATAGTGTAGAGGAGAGAGAGATGAGATAATTTCTTTAACTCTCTGGATTTGGTTGCTGATTGTTTGTGCTTTCAACTGGAGTAGCTTTTAATGGAGAGAATTCCTGGATGATGGTTTTTCTGCATGCATCTGCTTTTTTTGAAATCACTGCCTTGTTGAACATTCCTTTTGTCCTTTCTATAGTGAGGTTTGATGCTTGCATATGTCAACTACCTACTGGTGTGGCATGGCTCATGAACCTCCAGAAGTTAAAATTTGCTGTCTGGAATGTTATGCTCCCCTCAAAAGTGATACCAGATGGCTGATACAGTGATAACCATGGTGTTTGATGCTTGCGATGCTGTCCTCAACTCTGGAATAGATTTGATGCATGGAATATGAAATTCTTGTTATGCTAGAATGAACCTCTGACACAGGCCCCAGTTGCCAAGAAGCCTGCTCAGCTGCCTGGAAAGCCGACTCAAGTTGTTAAGCCAATTACAGTGCCATCTGCTGCAGCTGAGGAGGAGAGCTCTCCTGAGCACGTGAAACGGGCTGCATCACCCTCCACCCTGGACAAGGCAGAGTCAATGGATCATCTCCCTCTAGCTGGTAAGGTGAAGGGGTCATCGTTCCCAGTGATCCATATGCAAGTTGTTTGCACTAGTTTAGTTTAATACCTTGGTAAAGACTTTTTCCCATTATATTTTAGATATGAGCCAGTGAATGTGTGGCAGAGATTTACTCTGACAGGGGCCTCAATATATGTGTCTGCTGGAGGGCAGATCCAGACCAGCCATGCAGCTTTATTTCATAGAGGCAGCATGTGTAATTATAAGGGTGATTGGGTTTTTAATTAATTTCGATGTAACAAGTGTATTGATTCATAATGTTTAACTCTACTCACAGTTGAACTCTACATATACTTTCATTAAAGCGGATGGCTTGCCAGTGTGAATTATTCACTGATCTAATGCAGCTTCCTACGTCAAACAGTGCAAGTACTTCATCCAAGGACCTCGAACTGGTGTATAGGCAGTAGTTCATCAATCTCAAGTTCTCAGGTGGCTAAGGTAACTAGACAGTTGTCTGTACAAGATTAATTGTACAGATAGTAAGGGACTGCCACCACCTCGCGGTGTGATTGGGGCACACACCAGCAGTGTTCGGGCTCTCGCTGATTCTGTTGTCATGCCTTGACTGCAATCCAATCCTTCTTCCATTCTGCCCTGGGTAGTTCCCTCAGGACAAAGCAGAACTGCCTACTTGGCTGATGCAAGCTCTTTTGCGGAGTGCAAAGGCATTTCACAGTGCCACTATGATTAGCTCATAACTCTTCTGTCTAGAAAATTCCGTTACTTGTTTCATAAAGACCACTAAAACATAGTAGTTCTCTATTTTGGCTTTGAAAAATCTATGAATCCTCAGGAGTTTTGTTTTTTGCAATTTTAGCTGACATATTAATCTCTGAGTGAATTGCTGTGAAGGAATTGATAATACCTGGTCTCTGGTGTTACAGTAATCTTTCCTGGGTATTTCAAGTATTTTAAAATAAGACCAATAGGTGCAACGAGAACCTGAACAGATTCATACTGACATGATTTTCACAACAAAATGTCAGTACTTCACTACTGTGAAGCTATATTTCACTAGCCAAAGTGCATTCTGTGATCCAAATGTTACCTCCTTCCCCCCAGAATTACGAAGTCCAGCTTACAGCTGATAAATCAAGTGTAAAATAAATAAATAAATAAATGTCTTTTTCTTGTCAAAGAGCGTAAGGTGTAGGGAGGCATGGGAATGGAGTGGAGCAGTTGCACTTAAGGCATATACCAGGGAAGTCAAGGAGCCAAGATCAGTTGGATTAATGGCTTTGCTCAGTCCATTCTACACAGATTTTCTTTGAAAATACCTGTGCTCTGTGTCTCAGCCTCACAGAGCACACTGTGGGTTTTGTCTCAGTGGAATCTGGGCTAGCTACATTGTCTAATTAGTTTGGTTTGGGCTGATTGGGCAAATTGATTACAGCAGCAGGACAGCAGGCTCTTTTTCCAAGGATGGGAATAAGTTGATGATCATCTGACAGCAGTGAACATAGTGTGAGAGTCATTGGTACATTCATTTGCTACAACAGGCACCTCTTGCAAGTGCTGTTTAGCTCATGTAATCATGAGTAGAGTGCAGCGGTGAATACAGTATGAGTATCTTTGGAAATGGCTGTAATGAGCTCATGTTGTACCATTTCCTAAGTGAGGTGTAAGAAGAGGCAGGATGCACTGACCTGGTACAATGTAAAGCGGTCTTTTCTGGCTTGTGTGGTTGTCCTTACTGTTTTGGGAAGGAAAGTGGAGACCTAAGAATTAATAAGAAACTAAGATGGCAAGGAATTACAAATAAGTAGAGGTGGTATGTCTGAATGTGCCTGCACATCGGTTCATCTGAAGTTTTCTCTGACAGATCAGGGGAGAGGGAAGAAATGAGTACAGAAGATGCTCATAATATTCGCTGTCTTTTAGAAGTTAACATGTCAAGCTGAAAGTTTGAATTAAGCCTCTGCTTTAGCCCAATCAGCTCTACTGGAGTCTGTCTCCTGCCTGCAAATAAGGGACTGTAACTACTATTGTGACATTTGTGAAGTGATATGAGGTTTTTTGATGAGGGATGCCATGATAGAAGGAAGTTTGTTTGTTTTTCTGATACTTGACATTGAAACTGGCCAAGAAACAGTTAAGTGCAGCAAGGAAATGTGCTAATTTGATATCTGTACTTTTACTGACCCTTTTCTGGCTATAAACTGAACATGATAAACCTGTTTCAGGGGCATGGCAGTGTCAGATGAGTGAGGGTTTTTATACTGTTTTTCAGCTAGGGAACAGCTGGAATTTCTGGAGAACAGAAAGAAGCAATACATGAAGGCAGCCGTCAAAGCAAAGAAGGAAAATAACCTTGAACAGGCTAAGATGTATCTCCGAACAGCTAAGACCTTTGGCCTAAAGATTGAGCAAGTAAAGTGTGGCAAACCTGTTGATATTTCCAAGGTTCGTAGGACTCTTAGTATTCTGCTTTGTTTCATATTCTTGGACATCTAAGTTCTTACTTCAAACAGTGAATGATTTAATAAATATTTCTTGACACAAATTAAATTAGTTTGCTCAAGTGACAAATCTGGATACTGAGCCCTGAAATTCCCCTATGTTTTGTTTTGTTTCCTCTGTTCTGTTGCTCCTCAAATGTGCCAGATTTTGAGAGAATTTAGTCTCTATGAACCATTTGCTCCTTGATTTACAATGGCACACCTAAACCATGCAGCTTGGAAGTGTTCCCTCGGCTTAGGGTGTGCGTACATCTCTTAGCTGTGTCCTAACTCCATTTTGGGATGAGGATCAGGTGCATGTGATACAATGATGCCCTGGTTTCTCTTGGTATTTGGGTAGATGGGGAAACCAAACTGCACTATAATAGCTCTCCTGACCTGAATAATCAGGGAACTAGGCCTGTAAGACATTTTGCAGGGTTTTATGACTTAAGCAGTTGTCAGGCAGTGATGTAAGTAGTGGTTGGGTTGGAACTGCCTTGAGAAGAAAAACAACCTATCTCCCTTCACTGACCTTTCCATACATTCAGACTGCTTTTTGTCTACTTCATTTTTTCCTGTAAGGGCTCTGAAATATGGTGTTCTTGTGTTGCAGCTGCCATCACCCCCTACAGACGATGAGGGTGATTTTATCTTCATACACCATGATGATGTCAGACTGTCTCAGAAAGCAGATGAAGTATATGCACAGCTCATAAAATTGCTGAAGGACCAACATGAGGTGGCCATTTTATTTTTTTTAGAAACGTTTGGGGTTTTTGTTACATTTCTTTGGGGTTTATTTATATTATAATCCCATCATTGTTTCTGTGGGGTCTTTTGTTTTTCTTTTAAAATACTTTTGATTTTTTTTGTGCCCTAAAGTGCAAAATTTTCAGAGTTGGATTCTCTACTAGTTGAAGTCAGAGGGTGTGCTTGAAGGCTTGGGACTATCAAATTATCACTATTAAATATGAGCACTCAAGTTTGAAAATAGTACCCGAATGATTAAGACTATCTCTTGGGTGAACCTCATATCTAGAAATTTATTAAAAAGTAATAGGGCAGAACAGCTTAAACAAATACTGTGCTCAGCTTTGGGCTTAAAGGACTGGGGGGGTGGATGCTTTGGGCGGATGGTTTGTTTGACTTGGGAAAACTCTTGGCTTTTCTTAAACTAGGTTGTCATCAACCTCAAAACTCTGCCAGTCACGAATCTGTCTAAGGATCACTGAGTGCATCTGTATTTGTTTGGTTTTGTTTCTGTTGACAGAGGTGTTTGCAGTATTCCAAGCAATTCATGCATCTGGGAAATGTAGCAGAAACGACTCGGTAAGACCTGCTGCCTGCTGTTAATCATCCCACAGTGTGGTCATTTCAGGCTTGAGTCTGCCTGTCCCCCCTAAAGATGATGGGGGTTCAGGTTGGTGAGCTTCTCATTGTGTGAAAGCATCTGTAACTGTGAGGCATGCATCTCTAAGTTGCTCTCAGACCCTTGGTCTGAGGCTTACTCTGTGGCTTGTATCTGGCAGAAGGCTTGGTTTGATGTTCCGGTGTATATGTAGCTTTTCTATTGTTTGCCTTTTCTATAGGTTTGAGAAACTGGCACAAGGTTGTAAAAAGGACATGGACATCCTACAGCTTGCACGAGCTCAAGGAATGGATCCTCCAAGCCATCACTTTGAGGAAAGAACCTTTAAAATGATAAGGTGTGGAAAACCAAAGGGATTATTCAGGCAGGCTGGAACGAGTTTTCTGGTTTCTAGCTCTTGTTTAGGGAATTGTGGGCTTCAGCAAAGTCAGGTGGCACCTAGGGGTTAGGCTCAGCATTCCTGAAAGGACATTGAGCAAGTTAAATACAAATAACTTGTTCTCTGACTTTTCTTCTGGGTTTTCTTGTTTTTCAAAATGTTTTTTTATCTTGTTGCCTCTGGGCTTCGTTCGTGCCATTTTTCACTATACCTCAGAGATGTTTTTATCTCAGTTTGTGCTCTTTCCTTGCTCTTTTGTAATTTATGAAGGTGATCTGTGTAGGAGTGCACTATTGAAAAAGGTCTGATGAATACCATTGGCATCCTGGTCTGGCAGTGGATCAGGTGGTGGTGGGCTACTGGGATGAATATGCTTTTTTTTCCCCACAGGATATTTTCTGAGCTCAACAGCACAGAAATGCACCTTCTTATTGTCAGGGGAATAAACCTACCAGCTCCACCAGGTATGTACTCAAAAGGGCATGTGGGCTTTTTCCTCTGAGTAGGTAAGGAAAGTAGCGGGGAATGAGATTTTCCTTTGACTTTTGTAGCCAGCACTCATTAAAACAAAATAATCAAGTTTTGGGTTCAAGCCCCCAAAAGACCTTTAAACAGTATTTAAAAAACTAAACGAACAAAAATCCAGAATAATAAAAAGAATCTGGGTTCCATCTGGAGAGAGGGAAGAACTTCAATTTTCCTGGCTTTGCTCATGACTGGGTCATAGTTTGTTTCATGTTTATCTCCTGTTTTGTTATGAGTGCCTGCCATAACTCTCCACCATCTTAATGTGTATTGACCCTTCAGTAGACAGGAGTTGCTCCTGCCAACATTACTGTTTTTAGTCCCTTGTTTCTGGGAGCTTGTAAACCCTCTGTGCTAGACTGTCTCAGGACTAACAGCAGCATTAAGAAAAGTAGATGTTTTCCTTTGGATGCCAGCTTTCTATGGATTTTGGTTTGATGGGTGGGTTTTTCAGTTGACAAGAGACAGGTCATGAACCCTACTGAAAATTGGTTAGGTGGTCTTGAAAATCCTGCTCAACGTTACAGATGCAATGAAAATATCTGTATTGGCTGTTTGGATTGGCTGGTTGTTGTCTCATTCAGGTGTATCGCCAAGAGATTTGGATGCATTTGTGAAGTTTGAATTTCAGTACCCGAGTGCGGTGAGTGTGTGTCCTGGCTCTTCTGTTCCTTGCTCTGTGACCCTTGCCACTGTGTTAGCTTGTGAGGGCTTCAAGGAGGAAGTGTAGATTTTCTTTTAGAAAGGGAAAACACGCAGGCAGGCATACTGCCTGAACTTACTTTTAAAACAAACTTTTTCTGAGAAGCAGGCCTGCTTAATCTGTTGCCTGCAGATTTGAGCTTTGCTGAACCACCTTGACATTCTCCACACCTTATGCCTAGTGGTGTGGTGTCTGCTTCGGGCTTGCATGTTCTCTGGCTGTCTGACCACCAGCGTGCTGCTAAACAGCATTCACGGTGCTAAGCCATGCCCACCTTTCCCCCCCCGAAGATGCCAATCGGACTGTTTCCAGTCTTTGCAAAATTTGTAGACGTTCACTTCTTTCAGGGGTACAAACGCACTGGTAACTTCAAACACAAGGGCACGCACAGTTGTCACTAGGGGAGAGGGGCTACCTTAGATGTCATCTCCCTCTAAGTCCCATTCCTTTAAGAAAATTAGCTTTTAAAGGCAGTGCTTCTGGACATCTCTTACAATGATAGCAATGGGTTGAAAAAGTTAATCTTTGTCATTGAATATATGCATGGGACTCCTGGTGATTTAATTGACAAATATATATGTGTATATCTGGAGAAAGAGCTTAGGCCATACAAGTTTCTTGTCCTTACTAATTAATACTTACGTCTATGTGCATGTATATATGTGCATATATATGCGTATGTATATAAAAAATATGTATGCATATATATACGTTGCTTCTTTCCTTGAAACTCCCCAGTGCCATCCTGTTCCCCTCACCTTTAAAAGCAGTCTCTGGTCTGAAAAACACTGAAACCATTGAGCTAGAAGGCCATTTAGTCCTACTGTCAGTAGCAGTGCAGGGGCTTCTACTGCTTTCTCTGTAGGGCAAAACCAATCTTTGCTCTTACAGGACTAATACTTAGCCCTGTGAGAGTGCAGAGCCTAGGTTTTTTCCTCCTAATAAATTCTGCAGCGGTTCCACTAAAATAAAAGCAATTAGCTGTGGGAAATTGGTGATGGTCAGATCAGGTTTGTCTTTAGGTTTGAGGCCTTAATGGAGGAGTCTCCTCCCATTAGGATGGCTGAAAACAGAATTGGTCTGTATGATTAATTTTCTGGGGAATAAGTAAGAATCCGTATAGTTGCATTTAATCCAGTTTTCTTTCTTTGTTTTTTTTTTTCAAAGCCTGATCTTTATTACTTAGCCAACAGTCAAATACACCACCTTTCTCCTTCATAGCTGAAATCAGTTTTGCAAAGTAGCTGCAATAATTAGGTCACATTGTCCTTGTTCAGTCCCCAGAGATTTAGTTTGTACTCCGCTTTAGGTTAAAAGTTAATTCATTTTGGTGGCAGATTGATTGTCAGACAAAATAATAGTAGGGCAATTCCCTGAATGATTTGTGATGAATTCCTTGTGTAGCTTATTATTCTAACTAATGCAGAAGGAACAGAATTACTGTGTCCTGGAACGTGCGCAGTTTATCACGTAGTTTAACAGCCACAGTCAGTAACTTTATGATGATTGGATTGAATTGAGTGTGACCATGTAGTTTATCTGTGGCTCTTATATTTAATGTAATGTTTTGGCTTATTCTTTATCTAGTATTATACTTGTTACCATAATGAAATCCAAATATTTTAGTCTTGAATGTACCATGACTCTTCTTATTCAGATAACCCCCTAAACCTCATGTTTCTTGTATGGGTATAAAAATAGCCGGTAATAAAAATGGTTACTACTCTGTATTTTGAAACAATATCTGATGATTTTATGTAATGTGTGTCTCTCTTAATAGGAGCAACCTCAAAAGAGTAAAACACCTGTAATTAACAATAACAATTCTCCAGGTTAGTACTTTGTCTGGGACAGAGGGAAAAACATGGCACCCTAGGAATCGCTGGAGAGTACAGGCTAGTCTTGTACTGTGAATCAGGCTAGAGGGCCTCCCACCACCTTTTTCTTCTTTCTTATGAAAGGGCTTGTTGGAGGGTGAAGTCCAGCTGTGCTGACAGTTTGTTCACCCTCATCCCAATATTGGTAGTAGTTACTGTGTTATGAATTAGTGAAACCATCGAGTTACCAGTCATGCTCCAGCTGTTAGTGTCAACCTTGCTGGGAGATGGGCCAGATAAATAAAATTTACTTATTTAATAAGTTAAATTATTTTTCAAATCTCCATGGATCAGATCTTTTCCAGTCAGGTTTTGTGTCCTGTGAGATTGCCAATTCTGCCACGACTTTTGCTAATCAGCTAACGTTTCTAAACCTGACGAAGCATCATTGGAGAAATAGGCTTTTTTTTTTTTAAGACAGTGTGTCTTGAAACCAACTAAAATACTTTGTACCTTTTGAAAAATACCCCTTTGTACCTAGCCATTGAATACCAGTATTAGACTCATCATGCATTTTAGAATTAATCGTCTTGCACTCTGAGTTTGGTTTGTTGCTATATTATTTTTTTCAATTCTTCAGTAAGCAGCCATCTGCTATCAAAAAAACTTTGAATTGTATCCAAATTACTAGTCATGAATTTATCTCAAAAGATATATAGATAGACATAGCTATATCTATAATTAGAGTTTATATATATAATTTTCTGTTAAGAGTAGAAGTCCTGAAGCTCTGATACTGAGAGCTGTGTTCCAAGCCTTCCAATAACTTCATCTGCGCTTGCTGAGCAGCCGCTTATCTCAGGCTGACAAGCAGAGATGAGTGTTCCTGGGCAGCACAGCAGATAAGTCTTTGGATTTTAGTTGTACAGTGTCGTGAGACTTTCTGATAAAAAGGTATCCTGTGGCGTGGTTCTTGTCATGCTCATTAATGAAACTGGTGTTAAAACAGTATTAATTACATTATCAAAATACCCCTTCCCAGTCATTGCAACCTTCCTATGCTTTTTCCTTATTTTGTACCTTTTTCTTAGCCACAGACACTCTGTTTAATTGCCAAAAGACCTAGGTTCTCCAGTTTTGGCTCTCCAGTAACTCGCTGTCGTCTCTTCATGACGGCTTGGTTTTTCTGCAGTTTGGTTTCTGTCCCTGTAAAGTGAGGATGACAGAGATGAACTGTGCACAGGGACACCAACTTGTTAATTACTGAAATAATCTCCAGAAAAGGAGGGCCAAAATGAGATAGAGAGAGGTCTGAGTATGTGCCTGTAATAGATACTGCACGTAGTTTGACTTTCACAGCTTTCTTTCATTTTTCTGTGTCTTAATTGTAGAATATAATCAGTTGTTTAAGTTGAACATCAACCGAAACCACAGAGGTTTCCGACGAGCAATTCGGTCCAAAGGAATTAAATTTGAAGTATTTCATAAAGGGTAAGTCTACAGTTTTCTCCCCCCTCATTGCTTCTCTAGTGACAGTTGAAAAGAGTTGTAGCTGAAATTTATGAAGCACAATCTTTAAGCTAGCAATAAAGTGTTGTCTAGTTCTCATGTCTGAGAACTCCTTTCAAAATGTGCCTGAATTCTGTATCTCCCCCTGTGGGGGTGAAGAAAAGGCAGAAGTCCAGTGAAGTTGGCTCATAACTGGCAGATCATTGAGGATTAGTGCATTAAGAGGAATTGATGACACTGAGAAGGTAATGATTCAGCTTCGAATTGTTTTGATTCTTACCCAGTTTGGTTTTAGTCATCAGGACTAGAAGATTTAAATGTTATATGGGATAACTTTATAGAATAATGAAATACAAGTGGCAGCAAAACATTAACAGCAGTAAAGCAGATGACAGATGATGGCAGAACTAGTGTCATGTTGTTGTACTTCCCTTCATTCTGAGGATCTTGCAGTATTTACCAAACACTGCTAGCAAGCTGTTAGACTGTCTTGAGAGAGACAGACTCCCCTCATCTCAGAGATCAAGATGACGAGACGGATGTTAATGATGGGTAAAGTTCAGGGAAATCGCCCTACATCTAGGCTCATTACTGATTTATTCTAAATCGGAGTGGCCTATATTCACTAATCCCGGAGCTGGTTGTGATCCATGACTTGGATGGGATGTTAGATAACCTGGTTTTGTCTCAGTGGCTCTTTGTGCACTTTGTTTTTATTACTGGGACATGCAGAAAGGATCCATAGGTTCTCGGAGATGGTTTTCAGGTTACAGGTGTTTTAATTTGTGAGCTAAAGTCCCCTTGGTTTTACTCCAGATCTTCCCTTAGCACCTCCATTAAAGCAAAAGCTGATTTTCTTACTCTTTCTCTGTTAATCCTGACTGCTCCACTGCTCTGTTCAAGATTTCATCATTAGAGATCCTGCCTCTTTTGCACAGAACTGTTAAGTGTTTACATTCATGTAAAGCATTTCTCCCGAACTTTTGCATACCACTGCGCATATGGGACGTAGCCTATTCTCTTACCAGCTGGAACTCTGCTTTTTTTAAGGTTTGAGCTCAGGCTTAAGTTCACCCATTGGGAAACACTCTCCAGTGATTCATGAGTTGTATGCCAGCTCCAGATTGTCCTTTGAAGCCTTTTGAAAGATTAGCGGGTTGTCTCTCGTCTGCTTCTGAGATTTTTTTTTTTTTTGTTATTGTTGTTCTCAAAACAGGAATCTAACAAGTTAAATATATGCTTGTCTCTGGGTTGGGGTGGAGGGGTGGCAGTTCCCCTGGGCAAATAGCAACAGGGAAGGAGAAGAAGAAGAAATGCCTACTGATCACCTTCCCCAGCCCTCTTCTCAGGAGAAGGGAGAGGATTAAGTGATCCAGGCTCTTCTCTGAAGACTGTCAGCTCCCCGTCTTTCTTCAAGATTATAAATGAAAAATACTTTCAGACATGCTTGTAGATGTTGTCATTTTGGGGTCTCTAATAGCTCTTTGACCATCTCCCAAGAATTATTTTCTCTCAGTGAGCAAAGGAGACTTGTTTCAGGTCATATATATTAAACTTCACTTTAAAAAACACTTTCAAGTAAAAACCCAGCAATGTATTTTTCCAAAGGAAAAGTCTCTCCTTTAAACCTCTCCTAAAAGCTTCTGAAGATAAAAGGAGATTTCCCCAGAGCTGTTTCTGAAGCCATGGCCTAAAGCAAGTTCACATTCTTCACTGCAAACCCCCCAGAACTGATCAGGGATGAACCACTCTTTATTGTTTCTTGAATTATAAAATGGAAAAACGCTTTTAAAAAAAGTCAGCCAGAAGAATTGCTGATTCTCTTTTTAAGTTTATGAACAAAGTGTCCAACATACTGCAGTACAATTATGTAATCTTTCTTCATTTTAAGGTGCTTGTGAAGTAAAGGAAGTATTCTAGCATGCAAGCTAACAAATTCTGAACTTTGTTAAATGATTTTGTGAGTCTACTGTACTCTCATTGGTGCAGAACACTGTCTCACCTTTGGAAGGCTTTCTGTCAACAAAATTCATAGGCATCGTGTTTGGAGGCAGCGCTATCAGCCCTTGAGGTACTTGCGACGCTTTTCTTTACTACAGTGATTTGTGTTGAGATGGACAAGAAGTAATCTTGAACAACTGAGCTGGAGTCTTTCAAAGTCCTTCAGCAACAGGTTCTTCCTAACAGTAACTCACTGCACATTCCAGTGCATTCGCAGTAGTAGTGGTCTTGCAGTCTTTAACCTGTCTCAAAGTGTCCATGCTCCCCACTGTGATCATGGGGCTCCATATAATGATCTTCAGAGTTTTTGTTGCATATGTCAGGTCTTGCTTGACAATATCTTAATATCTCTTAATAATAGGAAGAAAAGTGGATGTTTTGGGATTGGGTTTTTTTTATTATTTGTTGGCTTGCTTGCTTGTTTTTTTCCTAAATAGAATGGCATAAAAAGGAAGCTTCTGAATTCTTGGCAGATTTCCTCTCTAAAACATGACAGGCATGGCTGGTTGGCTTTCCTACCTCCAGAATCTCTAGGTTTTAGTTGCTTATCAAACCTCTCGAAGACTGATTCGGGGAAATGCTTGGATGCAGGCAAAGAAATCCAGTGCTTTGAGCTGAACACTTCTGTGGAGTTAGTGTGTTTTAGTCTTTCTGGTAAGGTAAAAATGGATCTCTTGCTGATAAAACAGGAGTGACTGTAGGAGAGAAAAGTTGATTGTTTTCCTTGCAGGATAAAAATGCTCCGTGTTTAGTTTCAGCAGACTAGAAATTCTAAAATTACAGTTCTTGACTGTTAAAACTACCAGTATGAAGGTGAATCAGAACAATAGCTGAAATGAAATGTTCTTACTTGTGGAAATTGAGTGGTTTGATTTATCCAAAAGAAACAGAATGATTCATGCGACTTTTTCCTAATAAGTAGTTTGTCAAAACCAGCATGTGCCTGTGAAATGTTTGTTTTGGTGAGAGATGCAACTTCCTTCGGAAATTTTTCAGCCTGTTGTATTAAACAGTCTGTTGCTGAAGACTGCTGTCTGTCCTGGCTGTTAGGCCCTTCTTCCCCGTCGCCCTGTTGCAGGGATGAAAGCTGCTGCCATTCCAAGTGCTAGTTTAGTTGTTGGTTTGGGTTTTTTTTCTTCACCTTTAATTTGGTTGCGAGACAGTAATTAGAAAATGAGCACTTCAGTATCTTGTCCTTGTAGTCTCATTCACAAAGGGTTTGCCCCTTGCAGCCTGGCTGGTAGGGCTCTAGTGGCATGCTGTGGTGCAGATCGCGATGACCTCTTAGCTTGCTTTCTCTTTGATGTTCTGAAAAACTGCCCATTCCACTAAGGAAGATTTCTTTGAAGCAGGTCCTTTTTCAGAAGTGACAAGCAGGTGGGGACGGCACACTTAAAACTGGACAAGCTGGAATCGGAATGTGAAGTTAGAGAGATCATTGAGGTATGTTTTCTGGATGAGGTGTGTTCTTCTAGTAAGTAGTATTTGAACACAAAGGGAAAATGAATATTGCATTACATAAATGTGTTGTATAGAGCTGATAGTTTTGTACTGGATGAGTTTGATAAACAGTGGGCGGTTCTTTGTTTTATCATCTCTGGAAGCTTGTCTTAGCTGTGACAGTTCTGGTATTGGGAACTTCTTGGGGACTCTCTCCTGCAAATTTTCTGTATCAAGATAAGTTTTCTTTGTCAGGACCAGAAATTCAGGTGATTCCCAAAAATATTTGTGTTGGTAGCTAACAGATCAAAGGGTTAAGTGAAGACTGCCAGAGTGGATAGAGAGCTGCCCTAAGATCCAGTAGGAGATAATTAAGTGGAGCCTTAAAAAAAACCAAACCCAACCCAACCCTCCTGCTGCATCGCAGGCGTGCTGAGGACGCCGCTGCCTGTAGCAGCCTCTGAGCTGCCTGTGGAGCCCATTTGTAGCTGGGGGGCTTGGTGCGCGGCAGGCAGAGGTGGTGCAGCCAGTGGTGCAGCTGCCTTGCACGGGCTGCGTGGGGGGACCTGCTCTGCTGAATTGTAAATCGGGGGAAGCACATGACCGTGACCCCTCCCAGCACTGCAGTCACCCTCAGGTGATCCCTGTCATCTTCTAGTCCTGGGGAAATGGAGTCAGTGGTTGCCTGAGGCACTGTAATTTGACATTATCATTCGTATGTGCGCTAACTGCTCTTCTTTTTGTGGTTCTTTCAGATTTTTGATGGCAGAAAGCCCACTGGAGGGAAACTGGAGGTAAAAGTGAGACTCAGGGAGCCCCTCAGTGGTCAAGATCTTCAAACAATTACAGAAAATTGGTTGGTCCTGGAACATTAGTTCTGTCTGAGGTATGAATACTGCATCTAAAGATGGTCTGGCCAGAACTTGACAGGGCTTCAGATAAACTCTGCGTGAATAACGTCTTTGGTTGACATTGACCTACTTACGTGGCTCTGGCTTTGATACCATTCATCTGTATATCTGTAGTGGTGAATTGACGTAATTTCAGAAATGAGGTTACAGAAGCTCCGATTAGTTTCTGCATCAAAGATGCTATTTCACAGTCACTCGAAATAGGGGAAATGCTCCTAGCATTGCCTTTATTTGGAGTAATAGTATTTAGAAAATAAGATTAACGAGTCCTTTCTAGGAGGGAGGGCGCTTTCTGTCCCTCCTTACTGTTAGCAAAAAAAACTTCTGAGTCAGCAAGGATGCTTCTTCCCCTGCCAGAAGCTAAAGAAGGGCATTTGTTTGTCCCATGGAAGTCTGCTTAACTTCATCTGAAAGGGGAACTACTGGAGACAGGCTTTCTTCTGGACACTTGAGACTTCTGGGCAGGGAGGAACTGCACAGCTGAGTACAGGCTGCCTGAAGAACTGTGCGTGGTACCTGCTGTGCTCATATCAAGTGCAGAAGAGGAGCTGTGTGCTGCCAAAGTGGCTGTATATTAGGATGAAAAGGAGGTAGGCTTCCTCCTCTTGCCAGGCTCTGTGGAAACAGCTTGATTTTGGAGCTTCTCTTCCTTTCTCATACTCTGATTTTCGGTGTCACAAATTCTCCCTTCTTAAAAAAAACGAAAGCAAATAAATACCAAAAGTTCTGGTGTCTTTTTTTTAAAGTGATTTTCTACATAAAGTTACTGAAAGGTAATTCAGCCTGCTTCATGTGTGTGTCTGACGTTTGAAAGAAATTCAGATTAGTTGGACACGATCACCGATACCCTGAAACTTAGGCTAATGCTCATCAGCTTCACAGCAACATCACCTGTTTGCCACACCTTTGCTTCCAGCTTGGGTTAGATTTCACAGATGGAGAGGTCTTGTTTCAATACGTGGGTCTGAAGTTGTAGCACCACAGGAACTGTTTGTCTAGCAATTTCTTCCTCACAGCCAAGTTGGTCGGTAGGCTGCCTGTGACGGTCACAGTTGGGCTGTGAGGGACGCGTATGATGGCCCTGTCTGAAGTAACGACTCAGCCTTGTGCCGTGACTGGACACCGAAGCATTTTCAATCACTAGAGCTTAATAATTTTGCCCCATAGATTTTTCTAGTTGACCATCCAGAAAATTGATGTCAGCTTTGTACATATAATGTGACTTTGAATTGTGAACATCTGTTAAGTACTGCATCAGGTAATTTTGTTGGGTTTTGTTGTTTTGTTTTGTTTTTGTTCCCCCAGATCCATTGGAACCTTAAAAGATGCGGGATGAACGTACGTGGAAAGATGCTGCTAGCTGCAAGCACCAAAGATGTTAAATGAATGCACTACTGAACCTAATGTCTATTTTGATAACAGCCATAATGCTTATCAATAACTTAAAGGCAAATGTAAGGCTCTGGAGATTTGCTGCTGCAGGGGATTGTTTTGTCTATACAAAATAGACAGAATTGCCTTAACGTGGGACTACTAATGTAGCACCAGGATGAATGTTACATTAACTATGCATAGCGGTGTGGGAAAAGTTTAGCCCCTTACAAATTCCCTGAGGCAGTGCAACAACTTTTCAGTCAAGTCACAGGTAAGACCTTTGCTAGAGTTCATTTTTTCAAGCGTCGGAGCAGCCAGTGTGGTCCAGTGAACAGCCTGCTACGGCTTTTTCTGTTCTCTCTTATCAAGGCCTGCTTGGGGTGTTTTTTGTTTCCTAAAATAGAGGAGAGCGAACTTGGGCAGCAACCTAGTGGCGGTGTGTCCCTCCTCTGCATGCCATTGCAGCAGAAGTTCAATGGGATGTTGCCTTTCAGAAGAAAAGAATGTGAGACTTCTCAGCAGCAGGTGTTTCCAGATAGACATTTTTGTTCTGGCTACCAGTTGTCTGCCGTGCTTGCTGCACTGCTTGTTCAGTGCAGCCTGGGTACTGTGCCTTCATCCTTTTTCTTTCTTTCTTTGTTTTTTTTGTTTAAATTTAAAAAAGGAGGGGGGAAAAAAAAAAGTATGTGAGACTCTGCTGCTTCCCAAATGGTCCTGGTGTTTTTACAAGAATAGGCTTTTATGGTTCTTCCAGGTGACGGGGAAAATCGCCACTCTTTGTCATATAGAAAACTGGATGATGACCGTTTTCAGGAATGCTTTCGATCAGCAGCATACAAAACATGGTACCAAATATGTTGGTGGTTTTAATTTTCTGTGAGCCAACAAACTGATCTAAAAGGAGAGGCTGTGCCTGCGCTGGGGCGCTCCTGCACCAGGTTTAGGGAGGGCAAGTTTGTAGACAGAAAAGAGTCCAGACAAATAAGGCAGCGCTGCCTCTGTCTTCGTGAGCAGATGAAGACAATACAGTGTTTAGTTTTTAATTTCAATAAATTTAATATACAAAACTACATGTTGAAAATAAAAATATAATATGCAGTTTTTTTGCAGTGTTAACTAACTGAATTGTAAAAGTACAATTTTCTTCTAAAACAAGTACTTATTTCTTAACAACATGGTAATTAAGGTCATTTAAAAGGCTATGGTTGAAGCAAACATGTCAGTCACCAGTTGATAGTGTTTTGCACAAACATAACCCAAACCTAAATGACTTTTGGGGCAAAGGAAGAGAAGACAAAAGATTTTTCACCTCTTTTACTGCATTATTAAGCATAACAATGCAACTGAAGTAACTGGAAAGCCGCTGCTGTGGCAAAGCTGGAGTGCAGGCTCTAGAAGGCAAATTATTACTTAGTTTATGGAGCGCTCTTCTGATACGGAATCTGGCCTACACTGTGTAGTGCTGCCCGTGTCCCAAAGTGTGCAAAAACAGCGTGCAGAGGGGAGGCTGAGTGCCCTTAGTCGCTCCGCTGCACTAATCCGTAGGAAGGCTAGTGACTGTGTAATAGCTAGGATTGTCCGTCATGAGCATCAAGTAAGCCGCATTCAGCCAGCCACCTTTCCCCCAAGGCCAGAGCCAAGGCTTCACCGTGATGTAACGCTTACCCTCCTAAGTGTAGTAGCATGCTACCTCTTGCTGGCCAGCTTTTATTTCTGGAGTTGAACCCCAGTTCTCCAGGCCTGCCTTCCCCAGGTGTTGGGCGGTGACAGCTGTAATTTGCAATATCGGATTTGTCAGACTTTGCTTTTTTTTAAAAAGCAGTAGCCATTTATTCACAAATGCACTCTGTACATATACTGTGCTGTCTTTACATAAAATACATTGCTACGTGTACAGTTACCTTTTCCTTTGCCCAGCTAATGCTGTATATTTGTTTAAAAACCATAGCATCGGTCTCACAGTAGCCTTGCGCTTCCCTTTGTATTTGAAAGGACGCCTGTGTTACTCACATACAGCAAAACCAAAACGATCCCCGCTGCATCCACCAGAACTGATGCTGCGTTCACCATGCATCCGCCCCTCTCCCCCCAAACAGTGTTCTGTACAGACAGGAGGAGACCCTTCGCCCCCCTTCCTGGGAGGGGCTCGCGACAGCTGCTGGGGATGG